TAGGCATGTACTACCTCGAAGTTGCTAAGCCCCAGTTCGACTAGGATAAGAAGGTGCTCAAACACAAGTTGCCCGACGACCGAACTGTCAGATTGACCAAGTTCAAGGCCAGTAGTATTAAAGATACCTATGGCTGCTTGTGCGCATGCACGTTCTACAACTATTACAAGCAAAACGAAGAGGAGGGTATGTACCTTGTTTATGTCTCTGAGAAGGGGGAGGCCGTTAAAACACCCCCAAAGATAGAACGCGTTGTTGCTAAGTTCCCTGATCTGTTCGAGGAGCCCACAGGAGTTGTTGAAAGGGAAGTCGTCCACACTATAGAAATCATTCCAGGAAGTAAGACCCCAAAGGGAAGGATCTATAGGATGGCCCCCGCCGAGTTAGATGAACTTCGGCGACAGCTTAAGGAGCTGACAGAAAAGGGTTCGATTCGGCCTAGTTCTTCCCCTTACGGATCACCCGTTCTATTCCTACCGAAGAAGGGGGGTACTTTGAGGATGTGCATTGACTATAGAGGCCTCAATGCCATCACTGTGAAAAACGCAGAGCCTCTACCTCGCATAGACGACCTATTGGATAGGGTGCAGGGATGCAAGTGTACTATACAGAGATAGACTTGAAATCCGGATACCATCAGATCGCAATAAGATCTGAGGACCAACACAGGACAACTTTTCAGACTCGTTATGGTCTGTATGAGTTTGTAGTGATGCCTTTTCGTCTTTGTAATGTGCCGGGTACATTCCAACACGCTATGAATCGGATCTTCCATGACCATTTAGATAAGTTTGTCGTAGTCTATAGACGGCATTCCGATCTTTAGTAAGTCTGCCGAGGAGCACGCACAACATGTTGAGATAGTACTCTCACTCCTACGACAACACAAGTATAAGGTCAACTTAGAGAAGTGCGAGTTTGGCCGCACTAAGATACTATACTTGGGTCATGAAGTATCCGCGGAGGGGATTAGGCCGGAAGATGCGAAGATGGCTAGTATTCGAAACTGGCCACGACCTCAGATAGTCACTGAGGTCAGATCATTCCTAGGAATGTGCGGCTACTATAGAAACTTCGTTAAGAACTATTCTACAGTCGCCTCTCCTTTGACTGATCTAACTCGACTTGACACACCGTGGGACTGGAGTGATGAGTGCGAGGGTGCTTTCAAGAGATTGAAGCATGCACTCATGAATCATGAAGTTCTCATGGTTCCCGATCCGCAAAAGCCATTTATAGTGACCAATGACGCAAGCCAATAAGGCATTGGCGCAGTGCTGGCTCACCAGGATGGGAAAAAGTTGAGACCGATTGAGTACATGAGTAAGAAGATGCCATCGAAGCAGTTGGCTAAGTCCACCTACGAAAGGGAACTCTATGCTCTCTACAAGGCACTTGTCCATTGGAGACACTTCCTTTTGGGAAGGTTCTTCTATCTGAGGACTGATCATCAGACCCTCAAATGGATCAAGACTCAACCGGCTCTTTCTGATGCACTCAAGCGATGGATTGAGGTCATAGACCAATATGACTTCAAGCTTGAGTACCTGAAGGGAGAGTACAACAAGGTTGCAGACGCGCTATCCCGTAGAGCAGACTACCTAGGCGCGCTAGTTTCTGAATTTGGCGTATCTAATGAAGTAACTCAATCATTGGTGGGAGCCTATCAGGAAGACCCTGTCACGATGGACATCATCCGCAAACTTCAGGCAAAAGGCAAGGCCACAGAAAGTGAGTTTGTGATGGTGGATGGGCTAACCTATGTTGACAAGGCCGGAGTAAAGAGATTGGTAGTTCCATCTAGTGAACAGTTGCGTAGTTTATTTTTAGGCGAATGTCATGACGCAGCTGGGCACTTTGGCTACAAGAAGACGAGTGCTAACTTAGTACAGCGATTTTGGTGGCCCAGAATGTTAGATGACGCAAAGAAGTATGTTGAGACCTGTCAAGTCTGTCAGCGGGACAAGCCGCGAACTCAAGCACCGCTTGGGTTATTGAAGCCTTTACCTATTCCTGATGGTCCAGGAGTGAGTGTTTCCATGGATTTCATGGACACTCTTGTGACCAGCAAGAGTGGTAAGAGGCACATTTTTGTCATCATTGACCGATTCACCAAGTACGCTAGACTAATACCAATGCCAAAAGACAGTCAGGACAGAATACGTCATCAAGTTGTTCAAGGACAACTGGGTAAGGGACTTTGGTTTACCAATGTCCATCATTAGTGACCGAGACGTCCGATTCACAAGTGAGTTGTGGAAGAAGACTGCGGAACCGATGGGCAGTCAACTTCAAATGACTTCAGGGAATCATCCCGAAACCAACGGACAGGCCGAACAAATGAATAGAGTTGTACAGCACTTGCTGAGGCATTACATCAAGCCCAGCCAGGATGACTGGGATGAGCAGTTACCTCTCATCGCCAGCCTGTACAACAATGCTATACATAGTAGTACCGGCGTTAGTCCTAACCAGTTGCACTTAGGATGGAAACCTAGATCAGCATTGGACTTCCACCTACCTGAAAACCGACCTGCCGCAACTCCAGGCACACTTGAATACGGTGTGCAAAATGAGAAATTGCTGCAAGATGCTGTTGAACATATGAAGAAGGCTCAGCAAGCCATGATTGCTTCTGAGAATCAACATCGCAGACAGTCCACATTTCAGGTAGGGGAACGTGTCTGGGTCAAGGCTAGTGAGTTAGGACAGGAGTTCGGAATATCTCGCAAACTAATGCCTCAGTACTTTGGTCCCTGGGAAGTCTTGGATGTAGTGGGAGATGAGTTGGATGGTCCCACATATGTCATTCGTGTCCCTGAACACCTACGCACTCACCCAGTCTTTCATGCCTCAAAGCTTGCACCTTTCGCTGAGACTGATCAATTCCCTTCCAGGAGATCGATGCTGCCCCCAACCATGGATGGACAAGTCGACATCGACGACATTGTGGATCACAAGGATATGCCTATTCAGAAGCCGCTGGGTCGAGGAAGACCTCCTAAGCCCAAGAGAGAGTACCGGATCAGATTCAGGCATCATACGGATCCAAAAGAAGATCGGTGGTTTACCCGAGAGGAACTGATGGAAACAGCTCCTCAGGTGGTGGCGGATTATGAAAGGAAGCTAAAAGGGAAGGCACCTGCAAAGTAAGCATCTCAGCGGACTTTCGAAGCTAAGGGGGATGAAATGTGAGGAATGAGCCCTCAAGAAGGGGCCTTGCCATGATGTACATGTTCTGGGCTAAGGCCCCAGCAAGCCTCGTGCCCGCCCTAAGTGAAGGCGGGCCAGCAAATCAACAATAGCCCTTTGTGCATACATTTCACGAAGTGGGGTCCTTACAGTTGCAGCACGCCAGTTGGTTGGAGTGCACCGAGTTTCGGATCTCAGCAAATGCTGAAATGCCCAGGGCCTATGAGTTAGTTAGGCCCTGGGCTCTTGAACGTGAGGCCGACAATGCACGCTGGGTATAGAGGCCGAAAATGCAAAGGGAAAMCGGCCCACTGTCTGAATCTGGCCGCAGGCCTTGACGAGAGAGGCACAACTGCATCTCCCGGGCCCCAACTGTAATGGGCCTGGGTTCAGCCACTGGGGCCCTGTCGCAGGCTGAAGGGAGGCCGCCCACACGCAGCACTGGCATATAGGCAAGCAAGGCGAGTGGGCTGGGATCTTGGCCAATGCTGGCACTTGCGGGCACGCTGCGCGGATGCATGTGTGCTGCGCTGTGCAAGGCAGTGCTGCGTTAAGAGCAAGCAGGCCAGCGCTAGGCGGTAGGGCGCTGCCTGCACGAAGGGCACTGGCGGCCATAGCCGGGCCGCATGAGGGTGCAGGAGAGGTGAGGGCGAAGGTGGTACTTCGGAGGTGAAGGGCGCTGTGTGGGTGACAAGGGAGAGTGTGGGGAAGAGGACACGTACCTGGTGGAGGTGGAGGTCGGCATTGGTGTTGACATCATCACTCGCTGGTAGTCAAGTTGTCTGGTTGCTTTTCATTGCTGTAGTTGTAGGATAGGCTTTAGAGTAGATAGGGCGCCTGACGCCATTCACAAGAGAGAGCTACATTTGGGTTATGCTGTTGGTGTTGCCCTGTTGGGCATGGACATTGACTCACGATTCTTCTGTATCCTTCTCAATTGGATGGTTACTCGGTTCCATGTGCTATCTGCTTTGGATTTGACTACTTGGACTTCAGTGTGATTTTGCATTCTGGATTTCTGTGCTTCGTCCATACTCATGTTCCTTGCATCTGGTTTTTTTAGCTCTCTGATCTCCCACCTTCTGAATCTCCCGCTCGTTTGTGCGCGCACAACGGGTGGGAAATAAGGCTACCAAGTGAATGAGCACCTCGATCGAAATACATCTTCTTCAAGGAAGGCGAGGGCAGCGGTCTCTCCTTTTTTCCGGGTCGTCATATGTGCAGTGCGCAAGCAGGCATTCCAAGGAATGCACGCCGTGGCTTCCTCGAATGTGCACTATGGCTAGCGGTGGTTGGGATCCGCTGATAGTTGTGATCGGCCAGGCGTGTCAGAAACACGATAGGTTAAGGAAAGATGGCGTGAGGAAGAGAGAGAGGGAGAAGGGGAATAATGGGTTGATTCAACTTGATTGATGATGAAGCAATTCGGGGCTATAAAGGATGAAGATGGGAAGACGTTCCCATCATTTTTGACTTACCCTCCTGAAGAGACTTGTCACGCACGAGTCGAAACCGGTAGAGGGATTGTGTGATTTTTGTGTGGTGTTTTGGCGAAGTTAAGCTTTGTCCTCCACTTTGAGCAGTTTGTGTTCTGTTCGTTCACCCTTGATTTCTTCTTCTTCTTCTTTTTCTTCTTCTTCTTCTTCTTCTTCTTCTTCTTCTTCTTCTTTCTTCTTCTTCTTCTTCAGAGAGAGAGAGAGAAGTTACAGGCAAAGGTTACATCAGGCATGAAGCCCAGGATCTGATTCGACATTTTGTGGCAGACATTGATTGGACATTCGGCAGGGAGACTATTTTTGGACTTCGCTATTGCGATCTTGGTCTTCTCCCTCACCTCCATCTTCGTCCCGCCTCTCCCCCATCTCCTCATCCGTGGTATCTCCCCCCCATGGCATGTTCAAGGAGGGACCTTTCTTCCATGTATGCAGTCCCTCCTCCCTCTCTCACATGTGCAGTGTATGATGGGGTGTTGCGTCACACCAACATGCATGTCACACATATTGTATTGTCACGCATTGCACAAGTAGATGATGAGTAATAAACCAGGTAGCAAAGCTCCAATTCCACAACCAGATTATAGCAAGAGAGTCAAGAGTTCAATTATCCAGCGCTCAACAAGATTACAAGTCTTCTTCGATCGGCAAGAGTCTGGAACCCAGCGCACATCAGTGCTAGACAAGGTAAGTCTCCACCGTAGCTCCCTCTCCCTCCTATCTCGCACTTATCTTAGTGTCCCTGGTCTAAGCTCTACACTACTCTTCTCTCTTCACACACATGCACACACATGAGGATCGACTCTGAATAGAACTCACTGGTCCACTTCTACTGACATACTAACCCTACTACTAACTGGCGCTGGCGCAGCTATGGCTGCCTCCTTCCCTGCCAGCGCCTACTTCCTCTCTCTCATCTTACTCAGCGCTGCTCTCTGGCATAGCGCAGCTCCCACACTAGCGCACAAGTGCACAAGCACTTCCACACTCTCATGGGAATGAGCATCTGCCGAGATGGGAGGCTGGCCAGTCTTTTGTAGTGTTGGACTGGTCTTGGTTGGGCCAGCCTCTGGCCAAATTCCCTGGTACCGCATGCCCACTGCCTGTTTGTTGCGAAGTGTGAGTCCCAGTACCTTTCCCATGGTCTGCTGCTGCTGCGGCCTTTCAGCCTGCCTTTTGCACTTCTGGTATAACTCGAGACTTGACCTCTGGGAATGAGACTAAACTGGGCCTGAGACTACTATATTCTTATTTGTCTACTATATTGATTCCTCCCATGGTCAGTTGCGGCTGTGGCCTGTCAGATACTCTCATTGCACCTGACCTGTCAGATACTGACGCAACACCCCATCATACACTGCACATGTGAGAGAGGGAGGAGGGACTGCATACATGGAAGAAAGGTCCCTCCTTGAACACGCCATGGGGGGGAGATACCATGGATGAGGAGATGGGGGAGAGGCGGGACGAAGATGGAGGTGAGGGAGAAGACCAATATCGCAATAGCGAAGTCCAAAAATAGTCTCCCTGCCGAATGTCCCTCCTCCCATGGTCTGCTGCTGCTGTGGCCTTTCGGCCTGAAGGGAGGTACATCCTTCCGTCGGGAAGTAATCAATGCCATCCTTCGGGCCTCCACACCATGAGGGGGAGGAGCGTGTGTGTACACATATTGTAATCCTTTCTGACTTGCCAGTGGAATAGGAACCGGACTGATGCTCCCCAGAATGGAAAAGGAGCCGGAACCATAAGGTTCTGTTTTTTTTTTTTTTTTTTTAAAAGAAAAAAAGAAGAAGAAGATTTGACCTCTGGGACTGAGACTAAACTGGGTCGTGATTCAGGGTCTGAATCGTAAAAGCCCTTTTACTCCTGCTGGCCTAATTTCGAAATCCTATGAGAATATCATTCTTATCTGTCTACTATATTGATTCCTCTTCTTGCTCGTTCATAATAAGACAGAATATCCGGTGTTGTTCGAATCAACTCTTCTCTAGTAAACCAGCGATCTTCAGTTGGTTTCTTGATACGCAAATCTTACCTTATACTATCGCTGGGGTCTACCTCTGTGTCCATTCCCAAATGTATCTTCAACATTAATTCTCTCCACATCATACTTTCCATCCATATCAAGTGGTATTGCTGATCTTCGACTGGGAAACATGTCATTAGTTACACAAGGTAGGAGTTTTGAAGCATGGAACACGGAATATGTATGCAAATGAGGAGGAATGTCTCTAACATAAGATGGTCCATCCACATTCCCTATCACATCTAAAACTTACCATGGTCCTCTGTAGGTTGGTAATAGCTTCGAAGAGATATTCTCTTCAGGGACAAACTCTTTAGATTTCACCCATACCAAATCTCCTACAGCAAATTGAGAGGGTCGTCGATACTTATTCGCCTGCTCTACCATTTGATGTTGTGCTTTAATTATGTTCTCCTTAATTTTAGCTATATCTCTCTGATACTGCAATGCAAATTCTCTGGTTCCCGGCGGAAGTCTCTGTAATTGATCAGGATTCAGACAATCTATGGGCCTTCGAGGGCGCCATCCCAAATGTAACTCTGTTGGCGTTCTAGAAGTCGACAAATGCACAGAGTTGTTAGAAGCATTAGCAACCTTGGACAGGTGCTCATCCCAATCGATCTGGTCAGGACGTATATACATAC